TGTGGTTAAACTAACAGGTCTTATCCTGTAGAGGTCCCTCTTCATCAAATCTTCAGACACTGACAAATACCACCTGATCTGTCAGTGGAAACCAAACTACTAAACTGTTAGTGGAACAAATATAACGTGTTTTGGAACAAACACAAAACTGTTAGTGGAACAAACCAACAACTACTTGGGTGAACAAACAACCCTACTGTTTAGTGAACAAACAACAAACTTCTGTTAGTGGAAAAACAACACACTGTTAGTGAACAAATTCTTCTACCTGTTAGTGATATAATCAATACAATATATAACTTGTTAGTTGAACATAATCAACAACCTGTTTAGTGAACTAAACCCCATAACTTTATTATTTCTACTTGTTTGTGGATGTATGTTTTTGTTAATATTAACATTAATGATTGTACCTATTTTTTGTCCATTTTTTAACATCTCTGTATAATTAAAGAATTTTTATTGTTGATTTTTTATTTGTTGTCTTTATCAAATGTACGTTTTTTAGTAAGTTTTATTTATTGTTTACTTGTCACTTGGAATATATTTTTCCGATTATTCTGCAAAGTAATAATTGTTGTTTTGTTTCTTTTCATTTGGACTGGTTCCGTGCCGTACCTGTTATTTGTTTGTGGGCCTCCTGTTGTAACATTCTATTGTGGCTTGTAATTATATATCAATTATAATTTTTAAAGTTGCCGTTTCCGTTTCTCAGCTCTTTTGAACTTTGGTAAAGCATAAAATAGTTTGATCTGTATGATATTGTTCATTCATTACATTTGTATCATGACTAAATATAAAAATAGAAATTCCGCATTGATAGGTGACAATCTTCTTGCTTGGATGTGTTTTCAAGCACATCAAAGCCATTTTCTTCTTTACACATCAACTTTCACACGAAACACTCGACAGTCCTCCAAACCAGTTCCATTGTCATCGGCCCATGCCATGATCCTGCCTGTGCATGCAACTGGTGGGCGTGGCGCTGGAGCTCCTGCTCCACACCTGTGGTCATTACTATACCAGCACTTGTTCCTCTCACCATCAACTCACCCTAAGACTATGTTCACATTAGATACATTTAATACTGGCTGTAAACAGACCGCTGTCTGCCAGCTGAGATTAAAACTGATACGCATGACAAGCGCCGGTCGCCTGTTGAATCTGAAAGCATCATTGTCATGCATCGCGTTCACTTCCCAGCCACCCGTTGCCTAGGGGTATACTGCATATATAAATCTGAGAAAATGCCTTATTTTCCACTTCGCCTGCCTTTCATCTCCACTCTTACTCTATTTGGAACCAGATCTGTGTAAATAACATTTCCATCTTTTCACTTGAACATATTGCTCTGTGCATTTCAAAGTTACCGACCCCTGCAGCTCCACACAAACTGCAGAGGTTTTCTCTGCAACTTTTTATTTTACAAGCTTTTCTCTGATGCATTATCTACCTGAGATGAAACACTGGGACGCTATGCATGCCATGAGCCTGCCGCCTCTGATCAGGCAATTCCTGTAGCCTGTTGTCACAGCGCCAGCATACAGCAGGAGATAAAGGCTCTTTAGCCAGCTATGAAAGTCTTCAGATTGGCGTCTGAGCCCGCCTTGAAGTTTGTTATGAAAACTTTGAAACAAGAGGAGCACGTCACATATTTAACCTGCAGAGCTGTAGCCAACCTGAGGCACAAAGGCAAATCTCGCTATTGTTTTCTGGGGTTTTAACATCCAAGAGCGTCAAAGAGACTTATTGAGCATCAGGGCTTTTCCAGACTGACAGTGTGTCAGCAGGAGTTTAGGGGAGCCCATTTGTGCAAAAGAAGCTGATAGTATTGAATTTAGGGAGAAATAGTCAACTTCTCTCCTTGTTTATGAGCTCAGTCAACAGTTCCTAATGATTTATGGTCTCCAGTCTCTACAACGCATATTTCTCCCATACAGCATTATGCATGTTATAAAGTATGTTCCATATTAGATTAAGATTTTTTGAAGGGGCCAAGACAAAGCGCACTCGCGGAAGGAGGGAGGGAGGGAGGGAGGGGGGAAGCCGTGGACAGAAGTAAAGTGAGACTTTAATGATGCTTTAAGTGCTGCAGTTAGTCGTGGTTTCGTGTCGTCGGAGCGTCTGATGAGCTCGGCGACGCAGCAGTGGCGGAGGTCATAATTGGAAACGTGGTTTAGATCCAGAGCGGTCGGGGCCACG